AACTTTAAATTTTTGTATTATATTAGCGAGATCATAGTTGAGGATAGATAGAATCGAGAATCTTGTTTTTTAATAACTTTCATTAAGTAGTAATAGGTAGATTTCTATATTCAGTAAAAAACTGAACTTCTTTGAAGATATCATCAGAAATAGACTGATATTTGGTTGCATACTATCTAGTATTAAGAAATAATGTATGGTTATGCACATGGTTAAAAATAGTAAAAACTATATCTTGAAAATTTTGAGCACAAGTTTGCATTCTATTTACATTATTGGTACTTAGCTTTACAGTCCCGATAGTTATTAATATCGATTTGTTTTTTTGGCTTATAATAGTTGTTGAATTTATATCTATAACTATGGTACCTAATATTGCTATCTTTATGCCGAATTAACCATTTTTTATAATTAAAAATTCATGTATTTTACTGTAAGATTCTATAATCATATCAATATCCTCTCATAATTTAAAAATATGGTTAACGTAAAAGTCTGTAACTAAAATAATTTAAAGCAATAGATCAGTATTCTGAAGTATCTCTAGTATAAATACACTATAGAACAAAGAAATTATAATATTATCTTCATTAATCGTCTCAGGTATTATATTGCTTAACTCAACTTGTTCTATATTTAAGAATAAAAATTTAATATCAAAATTAATCACCAAATATATAATGAAACAATACTTTTAAGTAAGTATCTACATACTAGCATTGTGAGAATTAGCAAAAGAAATATCAATCTAAACAGTTTTTTGAGTATATAATTTAATTATTTCATCGTAAATAGCTTTTTGAATATGCTGCAATTCAAGTATATCATTTTGAATAGTTTCATAAATGTTTGTTAGTTCAATTATATCTATCTTAAGAAAAAATTTGTAAGAGAAAAAAAAAATAAGTTGCCAAACTCTATTAAAAATTTTGACTAAAATTTTTATTGAGATTCTATTGGATAAGTTAAGGCAAAAAGTATATAAAAAAAAAGGTGAAAAGTGAAAA